TTTTCAAACCCTACTGCTGAGTTGAATGTGCTGGAGTACTTGCAGCCAAACAAAATCAAGCATTTCAAAGAATACAATTGGTGCAAGTTCTTCTTCGACTATATGAATGAGGGGTTGAAATAAAAAAAGTTGTACGTCAATGCAGATCTTCATTTCTTAACAGTAAGTATCTATACCCTCAATAATTTCATTTCAAGTAGTATACCATAAAGCATTACAAATCCTAGTACATCAAAACTAATACAATTGTTTCTCCTTTTCACAAACAAATAAAAGGTATGCTTCATGTACAAGTTGGATGAAATTGCCTTCTCCATCCAGTTTCAAATCCCAAAAACAAGCTATTATGATGACATTGTTGTGCAAAGAAACTATGAAAACATAGTCAGCTACTACAGTGGAGACACACTTCATGAGCTAATGATGATGATGCACAATTTGTAACATATGGTAATTTATACTTACTTGGGGGATAGTCTTGATCATCTTCAAATCAAATATGTGTGATGTTGATGGTTGTTGGTCTGTAACATATGGTATTGTACTATATAATGGACATACCATCCATTACCACCAAGGTAACATGTGGTATTGACACGCCAAAACACAACACCAATCTGCGACCAAGTGTAATCGCAGACCAGGAATGCAGTAAAGTGACAAGTAATATTATCAACCCGGGGTCTAGGTCTACTGCTTACTCAGTGATTCTCTATTATCTAGCCAACTAAAGTAAGTGATTGTTGTTTAAAAGCAAAAGCAGAAAGAAAGCAGGAATTGATACGGTTTTCTCAAGCAGGTAAGAGTCACTCGGGAATGAGTCCCCCTAGCTCCTTAGTTAGGTTTCAATTGTATTTCCCTGGGTTGATTTACTGTTGATTAGACTGCGGAAGATCCGACAGTAGCTTGGAATCTCTTAAGCTGACCAAGCCCTCTCAGTCTATCTACCCGGCAGACGACTAGTCTTCACCGGGATAGAAAGCTGAAGCAGTAAGAACAGAACTCCACTACTGGAATTAGATTCCAGTACAAAGCAGTACACTAGATAACTCTCGTACAGCCAATCTCCTACTACCGAATGATGAGACTCTAGCAACCTAATCAGATTCTATCTATCTCAGATTGCAGCAGGAATCAGGAAAAGTTTATCAGACTTCAATTGACTCAATAAACATGCATCATTCGATTAAAATCAAACAGTAATATCATCCCAAGTCATTACAATCAATCCCTAACACATAGAACTAGGGTTCTTCATCCCCAAGTGAGAGAGGGGTTCTACTCCATAGAGAGAGAGAGGAAAACAAGATACAAAGCAGTCATACTCATAATTATGGGAAGAATCTGCTCTGGGATGATGATTTCCACTCCTATGACGATCTCCAAGCTTGAATTGATGAAACCCAGCTCCAAGATAGCTTCTAGGATGTGTTCTTCGTCCTTTCTCTCTCTAGGGCTCTGTTTTTTTGCTCAAAAATCCGATTCTCTCTCTTGCAGCCCAAAATTGGGTTAAAACCAGGAATTCCCGACTCACACGGGCTGGGCCACACGACCGTGTGGCATACCCAGTTGCCCGTGTGAGTCAAAACGCTGCGTTCCAATTAGTTCGATCTTCAGGCTTCCCACACGGCCAAGGTCGCACGGCCGTGTGTGATTTCCATCCTGCCCATGTTTGCTCTTGCACAATTTCACACGACCAGACCACTCCTTCACAAGGCCGTGTGGATATCAGGGCAAGCCGTGTTTGCTCTCGCACAATCTCACACGGCCAAAGTGGTCACTTGCACGGTCGTGTGAGTTGTGGGTGTGCTCGTGTGGCCTCCTTTGTGACTTGCCTCGCGCCCGATCTTCGTCCAATCGATCCCAAACTCGCTCCCAAGCCTCCATTCACGTACTAGGACCTGAAATATCACAAACAAGCACAACCTAGCGTGAAATCGGCCTAAAACACCAGAAATCACATCTCAAACAGTGTAAGAACAGGGGTAAAAACATCTGTAATTAACGGTCTATCAAACTCCCCCACACTTAACCGTTTGCTTGTCCCCAAGCAAACCAAGTCAGACACAAGGTAAGCTCACATATTTCAATCAACCAACATTGGGGACAAGTCATAAAGGCACAGAACACGTGAATCGTACTGGTTTTCAAACATCAATACATGACCAACTTCAACAGCAACCTGGACAACCACCAAAAAGGACATTCGAGTGCAGCAAAATCGAGTAAAGGAAGAGTCTCCCTTCTGTTCACCAACCAACCTAGACTTGACTCAACCACTTACTCAAAACAGTCAACTCATGCATCCAACTCAAGACATCATAATAGAGACCGAGCAATCTAGGTCCTCACCGAGGTACAAGAGTATATAGAATATGAAAATGAATCACTCACTCTCGACCAGTGGGGTCAGGACAATTTGATGCGAAAAATGCGCATGTTATTTCTCTCAATCCCTAACATCTCTTCACCATGATGGCAACCTCTAAACGATAGAGTTCACATATGGGGTGTCACCACTAACTAATCAGGAGGTCTTAAACACAGGTTCAAATGACTGGCTAGGGTCTTGGACATGGGGAAAAGGCCTTTTAGGTGGTGGAAGTATTCATAGCACAAGGTTCCACATTTCCAAACCCAAACAATCACAGTCAAACAAACCGGTATTTCCTTTCTGCTATTCTGCATTACTCAATATCTCAAGAGCACAAGAGCGAAGGAGGTAAAAATGTCAGCATTTCCAAGCCAGACTGCTAAGAAACACTACTTACTGGGCATTATTCAGATTTTTGGTAGTGGCTCTCTTTTGCTTCCAATTTTTCTTAAGAGAGCCACCACTTCTGCATATATTTCAAACACCTGCCCAGCCCAACTTTTAAGCACTACCTCCAACACTCACATCAAATTTAGCAGAAACAGTAGAGAATATGTAAAACCCACTCTATGGAACCTTCTAAAAGATGCAAACATGGTGATTTTTTTCATTTCAGACCAAAAGAAGGGATAACTGACACGCTAAAACACAACACCTAACAATGGCCAAGTGTAACCAATGAAAGGGACTGCAGTATAGTGGCACAAGTAATAAATATCGAATCCACGGGTCTCTAGAGTTACTATTACTCAGCTTCAGTTCATTATCTAGCAAACTAGATTAAGGATTGATTTATAAACTACTCTACTGACTACTCTACTAATTACAAGTTGGGAACTCACTTAGGTATGATTCCCCCTAGCTCCTCAATTAGGTCCAAGTTGCAATTACCTTTGGTTGATCTACTGTTGATTAAACTGCGGAAGATCCTAAATTAGCTTGGAATCTCTTAAGCTGACCAAGCCCTCTTAGACAGAATACTCGGCATGCGACTAGCCTTCACCGGGATAGACTGCTAAGGCGATTCACACAAATCTCCACTACTAGAATGAATTCCAGTACAAAGCAGTGAATTGGTTGACTCTCGCACAACCAATTCACCACTATCAATCAAGGAAGCTCTCTTAACCTAATCAGATTCTATCTATCATAGGTTAAAGCAGAAATCAAGAAAATTTGATCAAGATTCAATTGACTCAATAAATCATGCCTCAATCGATTATAATCAAACAATAAAGCATCCAAAACTTCATACAAGAAAATCCTAACACATGGAACTAGGGTTCCTCAAAACCTAAGTGAAGGGAAGTTACTCCATAGAGAAGAGAGAGATTGCAGAAATCTGATCTAGATCTTCAATCTCCATCTCCAAGCTTGATTCCCGAGCTCCAATGGCGAAGAAATCCTCCAAAATAGCTCCAAGAATGTTCCCAAGTCGCTCTCTCTCTAGGGTTTGTCCCTTGGGTGTTTGGGATCCAAAACCCAGCTCTCTCCCTTTCTTTTTGCTGAAAATCGGGTTTTAAACAGCAATTCCCGACTCACACGGCCAGTCCACACGGCCGTGTGGGTTGTGCCCGTATGACTTGCTCAGCCTCTGTTTAATGCTTCGTTTCTCCCTCGTCCGGACTCCGAATCAGTCGCCGTTTGATCCCAGATGCTCTTAATCTCGTCCTCTTTCTTTTCATGACAAGCTTGCATGATTCTTTGTTCATAAAGTGAGGTATAAATCCATTCTTCTTCAGGTCATACCCGAGTTTCTTCTCCCGAATCGTCAATTGATCTCTGATTGACTTGATAACTTGCGCCTATGCTTCACTTTATGTGCTAGGACCTGAAATGTGACAAAGGAACACAACCTAGCGTAAAATAGGCCAAAGACGCAATAATTCAAGCTCAAACAATCAAGAAACAAAGGGGAAAACATGTGCAAATACCGAGTCATCAAATCCCCCCACACTTAACTGTTTGCTTGTCCCCAAGCAAACCTAACTCAAACCAATGCAGCTCTCCAAATCTCTATAGCAACATACAACCCCGATCGTCGGTAGAGGATTTCCTAGATCTTATAGCAGCTTACGAGGTCAACTGGTCTTCTAAGACGTTCCCTATCTCTCTCAATGCGAGAACTAAACTCAAGCCAGGATCATGAGAAAAAGTAGAAGTAAGACAGTCAGTTCATGGATAAAGGGACTCACACCATTCACAACCAAGGACTCGTTGTACCGGGGTGCTCTTTCACTTCATTTCACCGTTGGAACCCCTTTTTCTCACTTTCATTTACATTTTTTCTTTCATTTGGTGGGGTTCCAACTGCAGTCTTTTGCACGGTCGACCCTTATTAGTCGAGCAAGAGCAATTTCTGTACATCTGGAGCTCGCCAGAGTACTTCTTTTAACTCCTTTTCCTCAACTCGTGTGGATGGTCAATGAAATTAAGGGGGGTCGGAAGCTCTATCCGTGCCCTTAAAAACACATCATCAAGTAGGCAAACCGTTCAACGGGTGGAAGTTTTACTTGTACTAGAGACAACTTAGCTTCACCTTGTAGGAGTACCCCACTAAGGATCACTAAAATCTCTTCCAAAAACCGATTTTGTGCAATGAACGGTGCCGCACACGTTGGGCTTACCCCATGTTTAAGATTTAATGATTTTGACATGGAGGACCAACCGCTTCCCATTTTCCACATGAGCACCCTGTTCGATACACGAGTCCATAACACAATCCAAACAGAGTCACCATTACCACATGAATTCAATGGTCTTAGCTCCACTAATTCACAAAATCAACTGACACAACAGAGAGCTAGATAGGAAAAATCTTATACTTCAACATCCTCCATAGTGCTACACTACCTCCCTAGGTTGCACATTACTATAGAGACTGTCAATTCAAAGCATACTGAGCAGGCAATTTGCAAGGAACACGTACTTGGAGCCCTCAAATTTAAAAATTTGGACAGTGGACTAGGCTCCAAGCACACAAACAGCCAAACATTCACCCGCATACATAATCGAACATCCCCCCACACTTAAGCACGACAATGTCCTCAATGGAGGAAAGATAAGGAGGGTAGAACGAAGTTACCAGATCAAGGGTGAATGATGATGGACGGGTCAGGCGGTGCATTCCAGGAAGAGAGAGTAATCAGAACGCAAACACCACACAAAATCTGACAAAGGTTGAGTTATTGACTCTAAAATCAAATAAAAAAACTGACTCAACCGAGGAGAAATAGAGAAAGAAATGCAAACCGACTGGTTGGGTTGCCTCCCAACAAGCTCTTCTTTCATGTCGTGAGCCGGACGATGGCTCCTAAGTTTCGGTCCATGCTAGAACCTCCTTGAAGTTGAGGTTCTCGTCGATGAGGTGGAGTCTCAAGTCACGAGCATGTGGTGTGGCAGGTGATGAAGGCTCATGTACTTGATGCAGATGAAGTCTCCACCCTCGAGACCTCTTCTTCTCTTCTCTCGTCTCATTGCCCCAAACCAGATATGACAACATCGACCGACCACCATCGCGTCCACCAAGAGGGACCGATGTCGATGTGGCCTTGGTCTGGCAAAGAGACACTGCAAATGGGTCCTTGCCAAGCAGTTCCTCAAAGTTTGGTGGGGATATTACTTGCAACTCATGGCCGGTGCATGCCTCTTCCACCTCAACTTCATCCTCAGCCTGGACGCCAATTGCTTCCTCAACCCCCCTTCCTTCTTCAAAATGTGGTCTCTCCCCTGGGAAAAGATCAAGAACCACCTCTTCTTTTCTTTCTTCCTCATCATCCACAACTTCCTTCCTCATCCTTGCTCGCTCTTCTTCTTCTAGAACAGATTGGAGAGCAAGTCGCCAAGCAATTTCTTCAATGGGATCATCTTGCATCTCCTCGCACGGGCCCAGCATGTTAGAGCATAAATGAGGAAAGGTGTGGTCTGCAACCAAAGGACTTTCCTGATCATGGTTATCATGGGAGTTCTCTGTGATAACTTCCGTATGCTCCTCAACGCTCCCATAGCCTTTGTCATCCTCCACCTCTTCTAGCGTGGTAGCAGAAAGGTGATCTTGAGCATGATGTGAGCAAAATTGCTTCACCCACTCTGTTTGCTTCGCTGAGCGCTGAACAGTCTCCTCCATATCATGGAGAAATGAGGGATCGGAAGTGGCAAGGGCTTTGATTTGAAGATCCATCTTGGAGCATGATTTCTCAGTGTCTCGAGCAAACTGCTCCACGAGAAGCCTTAATTGTTCGTTCGGATCCTCCAGTGAAGTGTAGCATGGCTCTGCAGAGTGGCCCGTGAAGGCCGCCATGGGTAACTCCAGCTCCGATGGCCCTTCTGGTTGTGGGAGAAAGTCTTCTTGGTAATCAGGTTGTTCTTGATATGCCCAGGGGTCTGATTGTTCTCCGTAGTAAGGGGGTTGGTACTGGAACCCGAATCCATAGTCTTCTCCTCCTTGATTGCTGTAGGGAGTCGCGGGGTAATACCACCCGGATGGTGGTGGATACCCCCAATGATTGGAGAAGCCATTAGGATCCATGATTCAGATATGCACTAACAAAAACAAAAACACCCAAGTGAAAAGCAAGGGTGGAAAAGAAAAGAAAAGCGCTAAAGTAACAAACTTCTGCATTTCCTAATACTCTAGAAAGTCCCCGGCAACGGCGCCAAAAACTTGACACGCTAAAACACAACACCTAACAATGGCCAAGTGTAACCAATGAAAGGGACTCCAGTATAGTGGCACAGGTAATAAATATCGAATCCACGGGTCTCTAGAGTTACTATTACTCAAATTCAGTTCATTATCTAGCAAACTAGATTAAGGATTGATTTATAAACTACTCTACTGACTACTCTACTAATTACAAGTTGGGAACTCATTTAGGTATGATTCCCCCTAGCTCCTCAATTAGGTCCAAGTTGCAATTACCTTTAGTTGATCTACTGTTGATTAAACTGCAGAAGATCCTAAATTAGCTTGGAATCTCTTAAGCTGACCAAGCCCTCTTAGACAGAATACTCGGCAGGCGACTAGCCTTCACCGGGATAGACTGCTAAGGCGATTCACACAAATCTCCACTACTAGAATGAATTCCAGTACAAAGCAGTGAATTGGTTAACCAATTCACCACTATCAATCAAGGAAGCTCTCTTAACCTAATCAGATTCTATCTATCATAGGTTAAAGCAGAAATCAAGAGAATTTGATCAAGATTCAATTGACTCAATAAATCATGCCTCAATCGATTATAATCAAACAATAAAGCATCCAAAACTTCATACAAGAAAGATCCTAACACATGGAACTAGGGTTCCTCAAAACCTAATTGAAGGGAAGTTACTCCATAGAGAAGAGAGAGACTACAGAAATCTGATCTAGATCTTCAATCTCCATCTCCAAGCTTGATTCCCGAGCTCCAATGGCGAAGAAATCCTCCAAAATAGCTCCAAGAATGTTCCCAAGTCGCTCTCTCTCTCTAGGGTTCGTCCCTTGGGTGTTTGGGATCCAAAACCCAGCTCTCCCCCTTTCCTTTTGCTGAAAATCGGGTTTTAAACAGCAATTCCCGACTCACACGGCCAGGCCACACGGCCGTGTGGGTTGTGCCCGTGTGGCTTGCTCAGCCTCTGTTTAATGCTTCGTTTCTCCCTCGTCCGGACTCCGAATCAGTCGTCGTTTGATCCCAGATGCTCGTAGTCTCGTCCTATTTCTTTTCATGACAAGCTTGCATGATTCTTTGTCCATAAAGTGAGGTAGAAATCCATTCTTCTTCAGGTCATATCCGAGTTTCTTCTCCTGAATCGTCAATTGATCTCTGATTGACTTGAAACTTGCGCCTATGCTTCACTTTATATGCTAGGACCTGAAATGTGACAAAGGAACAAAACCTAGTGTAAAATAGGCCAAAGACGCAATAATTCAAGCTCAAACAATCAAGAAACAAAGGGGAAAACATGTGCAAATACCGAGTCATCAATAACACATGGCTCAAAAGGGCTGACTAGGGGCTATGACACATCAGGACAGTCAAATTTGGTCGTGGGCTAATCCTATACCCCCACCATCTTAGCTAGTGACAACGTGATGCTACACATCATGGATGAGGGATCTATCGCACAAGAAAGAAACGAGCAGGCTCAAATCTCACCTGGCTACCTATATGCTATATGCTCTATCTCACATTCTGATACCCTGAACTTGATGCATAAGAGACTGTCAAGAATAAGTAATCAATCCAAGTCACAGTTGGTAAGCAAACAGTTGAAAAACTGAACCCCTACACAACTCTACTGCACGTCTTAGTCCTCATCATAGGTTGTCCTAGTCACAATCAAGCTGTCATGCATCAATCCGAAAACCATTCAATTCATCAATCAAAACACAGTGCCAATATGATCAAATAGCAGTACTTGGAGCCCTCAAATCTCAAGATTTAGACAGTGGACTAGGCTCCAAGCACACATATATACATTCCAACCGATACAAAGCACCCCCCCCCCCCCACACACTTAAGCACGACATTGCCCTCAATGGAGCAGAGGAATAGAGAAGGGGAACGATGTTACCGGATTGATATTGCTGGGGGACTGGAAGTGGACCAGTCAGCGAGAAACAAACGGGAAGATGGACAGTTCTGCACGAATCGAACACCAAGAACACACTAGCACACGTGTTAGGGATAAGTGTTAGCCCAGACGGCTATAGCAAAAACAATCCACAAAAGAAAAACAACAAAAACAAAAACAAACGACACGAAGTTCAAGCTCCTCACACATGGAGCAAACACACACAAGTCTAAAACGAAAAACAAAACACACTGAGATGGGCAACGAGTACAGCCTACTCGTCGCCGAGGTTATCCAGGTCGATGTCGTCCATGAACGCGTCATCACCATCAGCACCATCATTACCATCAGTGGGTGGAGGTGGAAGTGGGGAGTCCTCCCAGGGAGTCCTCCAGACTGGCTGCTCGCCCAGTAGCAGCTGGAGCAGATGCCCCTGTACCTCCTGCATGCGCCGAGAGAGGCGCCTCTCCCCCTCGATGTGTGCGAGAGTCACTCCCTGCTGGGTCTGGAGCTGGTCCAATCTCTCATCATAAACAGCCATCCTCTGGTGGTACTCGGCCTGGTGAGCCGCGTACTGCTGCTGGAACTGCATCTGATGGTCGAGGATCTGCTGGTTCTGGAGACGCAGCTGCTCGAACTGGGATGTGAAGTAGTCCTGGCCGAGGAAGCTGGAACTGCCACCCCCGTACTCGAAGGTGGTGGGGCGGGCGGCAGCAGTGTCATCCACATCCTCGGGCTGGACCTCCACATCAGCTGCACCCTTGGGAGCCTCCTGCTGGACCGCCTCTGGGATCTGAGGTTGAGGAAACCCCTCGATCCACATGACACCTCGCTCTTCTCGAAGCAGGAGCATTTTGGTGATCGTAACCCGGCCAAAGGGAGGGGTCTCTCCCTGCTCTGTGCACCCCTGCAGGGATACCTGGAAGTACTCTGCCAGGCAGGTGATGAGAGGAATGCAGTGGAGTTTCTTTAGCTCAGAAGCACTCTTCTCGAAGGTCCTCGCCACCATCGAGCCCAAGTGTAGGGGATGATCCCTCTGGCGCATGGACTAGATGAAGTACAGGGATCTCTTGGTGATGGCGCTGGCACAGTCTGAGGCTGGGGTGTAAGACTTGGCCAGCATGTGATGGAGGAGACGATTTTCAAGCTGCAATGTGCTGGCCTTCGTCTTCCCCGCCTTGAAGGGGAGCTGACGTGGCCGAGCGAGGCTGAAGTACAGCCTCCCGAAGTCCACCCTGTCTGGCTCGGCGATCTCGGTGACGTAGTCCCTGTTATTAACCAGGTTGAGGCCGAGGGCGTCCGCCAGCTCGTCGTAGCTCATGGAACGTGGTTCACCGGCGAGTCGGAACTGGACGACAGCTTCGTTCTTCCAATCGTCCGTGGCTGCATGCTTGAAGGAAGTGTAGAACTCAAGCACGAGCTCATGGTAAAACTTCACGCGAATGCTGAGTAGGCGGCGCCAGTAGCAGTTGGTGACAACGGGGGAGAGGTGCTCGTAACAGTTCAGCTTCTCCAACTCGCGCTTGGACCAGTAATGATGCTGCCCAAACTTGCAGGCCAGGACGTTCTGAAAATGATCCCGGTGGGGCCCCCTTCTCAAATCCTGAACAAACTGGTGCCGGAGGTTGGGCTTCGACATGGTCCTGCAAAAGAACAGCCCAAAGTGGAACCAAAACAGCCAAGGAAAATGTTAATCACACCCCCACACTTAAGAACAGAAAACAGCCTAACCATGGTTTCATCCATAGTTCGGGGGTCAGAAACTCGATAAATCAAGCATAATCTGAGTGGGGGTGCAAATCCATGAACAATTAGGCAACTCAAGGTTCACATCCATACCAAACACACCCTCAAAGCACATCATTAAGGGCCCCCAACCGGCCCCCACAAAATGGTACGGAAACAGGCATTTCATCGAACACCTTGTGTGCACTATTAAGGTAAGCATGAAATTGGCACAATTCTTGCACACAAGGGCTCAAACAACCAAGAGGGACTTTGCCCAACACAATTCAAACACACTCCATGCATTCCCCTCAATCAATTGCATAAAAATCACAAGATTCAATGAGGTTCTCTAAACATGCACCCTAACACCCAATTCTCCACAATTAACATAGTTAAAGGCAAAATCAAACCTGGAGACTCAAGTAGAGGTGTAGGGGATGATGAGGGGAAGGCGATGGAAGCGACGAAACGCCGAAAAAAATGCCCGGAAGTGCTCGTCGGAGCCTCGCCGGAGTCTCGCCGGAAATCGCCTCCGGCGACAAAAACGTCGTCCAAATCTACTCAAAATGGAGGGATAGGCCGCTTTTGGTGTAGGAAGGGTGGGTTTGTTGTTGGTTTGGTGGAAAAATGACAAAAAATGGCCGAAAAAATCGAAAAGTGTGGTTTTGTCGCGGTTTTCCAGCGAGGTTCAGAGGATTCCGGCGAGGATTTTGAAATTTTCTGATGACTCGGCCGTGTGGGCCGAATTCATAGGCCGAGTCTCGGCCACACGGCCTGACTCGCGCGGCCGTGTCGAGAGCACTTTTGCCCGCGTCGGCCGACACGGGCTGGCCGAGGAATCTTCACTCGGCCGTGCCGAGTGCTCATTTGGCCGTGCCAAAATATGCGAGAGCAAACACGGCCAGGGAAAATTTCCACACGGCCGTGCCAACATCTCATCTGGCCGTGTGGAATTCTGCGAGAGCTCACACGGCCAAAATTATTTTCCACACGGCCGTGTGACATTCAGGGCTGGCCGTGTGAGCTGCCAAAACTCCGAAAATGACCTGTTTTCACTCCAGAACGACATACAACTCGTGAACAACCCCTCAAGACTCAAAAAACACAAAAAATCAAAAGGAAAAAGGTTAGAAAATGCAAACCTAGGTGGGGTTGCCTCCCCACAAGCGCTTCTTTACCGTCTTTTAGTTGGACGCCAGTCGGTGGATGCTCAGTGAGGTGAAGGAGCAGGTGCCTTCAAGAGCGGATCCACCTCGCTCTTGAGGTACAACTTCAAATGATGGCCATGCACACGCCGAATGTGGCCACCAGTATTTGCCAACTCAACTTGGCCATCCGGCAGGATGCAAGCGAGTGAATACTCGGATGGCCAAGGTGGGGGTGGGACCAGCTCATAGTGGTCTCCGGCCTTCTTTCGAGCAGGTTTAGCTGCCTGCTGTTTCGGCCGCCACTCCTCCCTGATTTGTTCTTTCGATGATGGAGTGGACGGGAGTGGCGGCGAAGGTATGGGAGGCGGATCCTGCAAAATAGGCAACAGAGAAGGATACACGACAGACTCGTGCTCCTGGTGAGATACAGCATGCAGAGGTGACGAAGCAGGACGAGTATTAGAAATTGAAAACGCTATTCGCTCCTCACCATCCCTCAAAACTAAGGTCCCATCATGCACATCTATGAGGGCGTTGGCGGTGGCCAGGAAAAGCCTTCCCAGTATCAATGGCACATCCACATCCTCACTTATGTCCAAAATCACAAAATCAACAGGATAATTGAATTTGCCAACCTTAACCAGAAGGTCTTCCATTATTCCCTTAGGATGCACTACAGATCGGTCAGCTAATTGAAGGCTCATCCTAGTAGCACGGGGTTCACCTAGGCCTAGTTTCTTAAACAGTTTATATGGCATAACATTGATACTAGCACCTAAATCCGCCAAGGACCTCTCTACATGAAAATTTTCTATAGAGCACGGGATAGTAAAACTACCTGGGTCCTTCTGTTTCTGCGGAAGCTTGTTCTGCAGAATGGCCGAGCACTCCTCGCTGAGCTCCACAGTGGCCAGCTCGCTCAGCTTCTGCTTCTTTGAGAGAAGATCCTTCAGGAACTTCGCATACTTAGGCATTTGAGATAGTGCCTCCAGGAAAGGTACTTGGACATTCAGCTTCCTAAGCATGGCCATGAAGTTCTCGAACTCTGCCTCCAGCCTGTCTTTGTGCAACCGAGTAGGGAAGGGGAGTTTAGGGATATACTCCTTCACTGCTGGTTGCGGTTTAGGTGCAGGCACCTCAACCTCCTTCTCTGCTTCTTCTTTAGCTGCTGGAGATGCCGAGGCAGGGGCCTCTCTCTCTTGTGCCCGAGTAGGTGGATCAACAGTCATCTTGCCACTCCTGGTCATGATGGCATTGCAGTGCTCATTCGGGTGTTGAGGATGAGGGATGGTCTGACCGGGTAGAGTACCAGGAGCCCTTTGGGCCACTGCTTGAGCCACACTCCCCAGCTGGGTCTGGATATCCAGCAAGACAGCCTGTGTGTTCCTCTGGCCAGCTTCAAGAGCCAGGAATTTACCCGATGCCTTTTCCATGAACTACTCGATAGTGTTAAATTTTTGAGCACTAGAACTGGCGAGAGAACCCACCAATTCCCGCAGTTCAGCCATCTGATCATTCTGCACTGGGGCGGCAGGGGCTGCACCTGGCTGCTGGAAAGGTCGCGGCTGTGATGGAGCAGCATGCCCCTGCATGGGCTGGTAAAGAGACTGCTGCTGCTGGAATTGCCCTTGTCTGGGCTGATATGGTGGCCTTTGGAAACCCGGTGGTCCCTAGGGGACTGGTGGTCTGGAATTTGCCCCACCCCAGGAGAAGTTGGGATGCTGGCGCCACCCCTCATTGTAGGTGTTACTGTAGGGGTCATTGCGCCTGACATTGTTGATGAAGTTCACCTGCTCCTGGGGTGTGGTCGATTCCTTCATCGCCTGGCAGTCTTCCACTGTATGATGGGTGCTCTCGCACCACTGGCAGAGCATCGCCTGCTGCTGTCCGGTCCCTGGAATCATCCCGGAACGATCGATAGCTGAAACCAGCTTCGACACCACCTGCACCAAATCAGAGGAATGGTTTCCCACAGAATGTACACCTCGGCTTGGTGCTCTCCTCGACCTCCTCGCAGTGCCCCAATCATACCCGTTCTCTGCCATCTCCTCAAAGAGTTGATTCAGCTGTGGCGGTGTTTTAGTCAGCATGTTCCCGCCACAAACTGAGTCAATCAGCTGCTTATCTTTTGGGAAGAGGGCATGATAGAAGGTTCCCACCTTGAAAGCATCGTTGAAACCATGATTGGGACACCTCAGGAAGAGACTGTTGTATCTCTCCCAAGCATCCCGGATGGTCTCATCTTCATCCTGGGTGATGTGGGTGATCTGCTTCTGCAAGTCCGCCGTCTTGGACGGAGGATGGTAGCGGGTGAGAAACTTGTCCGCCAGGTTGGCGAACGTGGTGATGGAGCCTGGAGGTCGAGTGTCTAGCCACTCCTTGGCCTGCCCCTCCAGGGTGAATGGGAAGTACCTCAGCTGGATGGCATCTGCGGGTACCCCATTGATCTTGATTCCATCAATGAGCTCGTGGAATCGCCTGAGATGTGATCGGGGGCACTCCCCCTCTTTGCCACGGAACATCACCGAACCGCGCAACATGGTGATTACTGAGGTGCTCACCTCAAAATTATTGGCTGGGACATGAGGGTGTTGAATGGGTGACCTCATGTCTACAGCCCTGGCGGTCTAGTAATGTCCCATGGTCTGCTCCTCGGGATCGACCACAGCATGGCCCTGTGGATCAGCCATCTCCTCTTCTTCAGTGATCTGTAGCTGTGCTAGCGCCTCCTCCGCAGCCAGTCGCGCCTTTAGAGCCCGCTTGAAGTTTCTGCAGGTTCGTTCAAGCTCCTGGTCCAGTGGTAGTAGATCTCCCGACTGGCTACGGGTCATGCACTACCTGCACACAATCAGCAGAAGCAACCCGTGAAGGCACACAGGTGGAAGAGATAAACTGCAGTAAATAAAAAGCTAGAGTAACAAATTCTCACGTTTCCCCAATAACCTAGAGGGTTCTCCGGCAACGGCGCAAAAAACTTGACACGCCAAAACACAACACCAATCTGCGACCAAGTGTAATCGCAGA